CTAATTATCGTTTTTGTAGTTTGAAGGTTTGGAAATTCTGTCCCAATGCTGGTTTCCGTAAGCCGAGAAGGGCGGTATAGCGAAATTAAGAAGGCTACGATATTAATGCCGACTGACAGAAATTTGAAAATGGTGGTACAATCAGCAAAGGAAAAGAAATTTGTACAATATGTGTGTGAAGCTACACAGGATGATCTGATATACAAGCATAGGATGCGAGGTGAATTGTAAATTGGATCTCACAAGCAGTTGTTCTCTCTCGCCTGCGCTCGCATAGCTCGAGGACGTCAGTGGTTCTTTGATTTGCTTAAGGCTTCTTCTGTATAGCAAGCAAGCCCAAGAAACAGGGATTGCCGTAGACTACCGCAGCACACTTTTATGTAAGGTTTGTACAAATCCTAAATAACTGAAGTTTCTATGAGCACCCTGCAACGTATATAGTCGGCAGTGGAAGCTGAGGGTAGTCTGGGCGGAACTTACGCCGGCGCCTGCTCGCAGCTGTCTTAAAAAGCACCGCAAGAATCCAGCTGCTTGTAGCAGAACACCTGAGAGAATGAGCCTTTGGCAGACCTGGCCTGTCACAAACATTCGATCGCGAAACAGTCGCAGCTTTGGCTTGGTCTGACACACAGATGCTACAGCGTAAGGTTCTGCCTTGCCCATTGCTGTAATCACACATCGGCTCGGTGCCAGCAGACTATGCATGCGAGAAAGATTCCTTTCATTCGCCCTTGAGACAGGGCTCCAGGCACTGAGGAATTTCGTACTTCCCACAGTCATTGCCCTGGAGCCAGCCGCAGTAGTGGCAACCAGTGGCCAGGAAACAGGCTGGGCAGAAGCCTGAGGTGCAGAGAAGGAACCAGAGAGGATTTTGTTGCCCCCACCATCGGTCCCGGCCATGGATGGTAATGTACAGGCGATGTCGGAAATTCTGCAAGGGTGTCTCGTAGTCGTAGTCTGCAGGATAGAAGTTGGTCACAAGGGCCCGCATGACATGCATGGCAAAGGTGTAGCCACCTTCCCGCTTCATCACCTCCTCGAAGGACTAGCAGTGACTAGTGCAAGTGGGTGATGTTCAATTCTCTTCTGGCGGCCACACTCGTACGTTTTTCATCTCACAGGTCTGAGGTGGAAAGAACAACTTGTGGACTCCGAACGCCTGCAAGCAAAGCTCCCTAAACCCAACGCCCCCCCCCCCCCCCCCCCCGAAATCCCTGAACCGCTCCTTCATCTGAATCTGCCTGTTCTCAACCTCAAAGGCTTCGATAGTGCGGATCCGCGTATCTTCACACTCCTCCTGCTCGAACCACTCGATGTCCTCACAAGGACTGAATGTTTCGGCCACCCGTAAGCCGTAAAGCGATCTTGTGTGAGCTCCGTTCCAACCCATATTCCTCACTTCAGATGTTCTGGCATCCGCCCCATCAGGAGCATTGCCCCGAACCCGAAATTTCCGCAGCTATCCCTGATTTGCCATCCCCAGACCTAGACGCTACACTCTGAATCCTGAAATTCCAGCAACGCTAAAGCCCGTAAGGCAAAGAAAATGAATCGAGCTGCCCACAACACTCTGAAGCCCCCGGACCCAAGTGCGGTTGAGAGTGGTCCTCCTTGACCAGAGACAGGCCCATGAGACAAACCTGCACATCGCCATATACCTGAAACACCACCGTTGTTTTTGTTCTCTCTCTCTCTCTCTCTCTCTCGCTCTCTCTCTTTCTCTCTCTCCTGTTGACTAGGGCCTGGTGGTTAGATAGGTGATCTCAATGACTTGAATTGTGTTTTCGGAAAGAAGGCAAAAGCAGGAGGCAACACCATCCAGGATGTAGGCAGGGCTCCGGGTTTAGATTGAAGTTAGTTAGTTTGGGGTCAGGGCTTTGAGGGCTGTGATAGGGTCCAGTGCTGTTTGAGATTGAAGGCTTCAGGGTTTAGGGTGTTGGGTTGATAAATGATACCAGTTCAGATTTCACAAACATGAACAAACATTCGTAAGAGCAGCCAAGGTACCATGTTCTGAATCCTGTCCAGGACCTTGCAGTCATGGCGTGCAACAGCGGCCTATGTGTAGACATTTCCAAGGAGCTCACACACGATCTCCAAATGGGTAGTTTCTTTGGTTCTCTAAATCAGGATTCCACTTCGAGTCCTTGCTATGTGAGCGCGCGTTCTTTCGAGGGCACAAGAAGGGGATGCTAGTTTAGGACTATCTAGAATGGGCAGTCATACCGTCGTTTAGGGGCTGGGGTTTAGGCTTTGCGGTGCTGTAAATGACCACATGAATGTGTAGCATCGGGACCTTACTTGCAAGAATCGGGATTACAAGGGGATTACAAAGGAATACTGGCAGCACTTATTCGGACCCCGACCTGTATATTCACACACCAAAACCAAAATCTTTGACCTGGATGATTGGGTATGTACAATCAAAGTGCTTCATGCAGGTCTGAACTTCTGCCAGCCTGGTTGAAGGCGTTCATGTCGTTGGCCTGGTGTCAGAATCGTCTAACCAGCTATATAACTGGGGTCCCTGAGGCTCAGGATCTTCCAACTCCACTAAACTATTCTAGACATAACTTGAGATTTTGCACTGCATGCCAGAAACTTCGATACTCCGCAGCAGAATCGATTAATCAAGTTTTGCCTACGCGGCTACTACACTTGAGAAAGAAATACTCTCATTAGAGATGCAGCAAAAAGCGCTTCGGAGATTTTTGAGTGAAGCGCTGGAAGGCTCTACGGCTTCGCGAGCGAGTTTCCATACAAGACTGGGCGGACTCTCAACTCTCTAATCCGTATCCTCCCTTGCGAATTCTTAAAATCTACACCCTATAGACCCAGACATCCGTAAACCGTTTGCTAGGCGTTCCCATTCTCAAGGAGCTGCAGGCCAGAAGGCATAGTACTGGTAGCAGCACATACCATGGTGCCTACTTACCCATATTCGGCAGTAGTGATGGCGCTGCCGGCGCGCAAAACACACCAGAATCTGTCACTGTAGTACGTCTCAGCACTGAGAAGACGGCAAAACCCTATCGATCCCCCAACAACTATGGACCGATATCTTCAACCTCCGTATTGACATCACTTCTTTCAAACTCAAGCATGCCGCCTCGTCATGGCAAATTGTCATGTCCGGCTTTTGTGTTACAAGGCCGGAACCGGTCGAGAAGATTTTGAGAGAATCCACCCCAAAAAGACGCTCAACAAAAGCCGTGGAAGCCCTGGCCTCCCCATCAGTCAAGGCGAGAATCAGAAGCGGCTTGCCCGTTGAGGCAGGCGCAAAATCCCGAAGTACCTGCCCAAAGTTTCAATATTTCGGGTTGGGTGTTCGGCGTTAGGCAAAGGCTAGTTGGGGCCCGCATTTTTGAACAATCAGGCTTTACGCATGGGTTATGCAGGGTGCACACGTGAGACGGGTCTCCTCCAGACCCAATCTTGTAACGCTGCAGGATCAATCAACGAGGAGAGCAGCATCAAAAAAAGAGAAACTGCCCACAGAAGATCTGAGCACAATCTCGGCTTGTCCAGCAGAAAGAGTCGGGGATGGGGCGTGAGGGTGAAACCTTTATACACACCCCAAGAACGACCCTTCAAAACAAAACCGCATAAGACCTCCCAAAACTGATGCTCCAAATTATAACGAACAAAGCCTTTGTAATCCCTTGTACTGCCCTAAGAAAACCCTTCCTATTCCCCCGAGATGTGACGCCTCATTCAACCTCCGATCCATTGGAGTGGTTCCCCTTGGGGGACTCCGGAAAATTTCTTCCACCTGCGAGAGGGTGTAAGTACTATACTTAAATTTTGCGAAATGGGTATTTTAAGAATGAGACCCTGCAAGCTTGGTTTCTTCTTAAGTGTTGATAACTTAGGATGCTTCTCTTTGTGTTTCTTACAGTGCCTTCTTTAACGAGTTCTCATCTTCTAGTAGGAGTGGCACAACCGAGGGCGCGGGCTTCCGCGGTTTAAGCGGGAAGAAAGCGATTCAGTTCTTCCACCGACAGCTGAAGGCTCCGCTACGATGCAACTGAAAACCTTTAGCCATGCTATGCAAAGCCTCCAACATTTTGGCTATCAACGCCGCATCATCATCCGCGTAGCCCAAATCTTCCAATGCCAGCGCTGACTAAGACGATTACACAAAGCACCCCATGTGCTTTTCATTATCATCTTGAAGCGTACGACTCAGTGTCTCGGGCCGGCGTGCGGAAGTTTTGCGGCAAAACGAAGTTCCCCGCAAATTTAACTGTTGCGAATCATTCAATGGAACTGCTCTGGAAAGAAACTCAGGCGTGTGTTGAGGGAGTTTTGGGGTTTGGTCTGCCGACAGGCGTGTTGTCTTGCTCAGGGTAGTCGAGGCGTCAGTTGGCAAGTCGGGCGTGGGGACAAATAACGCGTATTGATGGGGCTTTGTTGCACAGGGAAGCACGTATTCTAACCAAGAAGCAGCTGGACCTTGCTCTACGCTTTCCGCTGTGGTCCTGCCCATTGGCTTCTTGCAACCCTATCAGAGCGCGCCAGCGCCAGTCATAACTTGCAAAGCCGAACCCCAAAGCCCTGAAGCCTATCGGGTCTTATAGTTGCATGAAGGTTTCGGAGGGCTTTGGAACGGCTTCGTTAACCCTCGTACACGCCTGATCATCACGAACGAACCTACAGTCTTTTGGGGTGGATCTTGGACTATATAACCATGTGAAAGGGTTGCAAAGGAATAACCTCAAGATGATGTGGGATCCTTCTGCTGGTTGCCCCAAGCTCCTGAACCGAACTGAAAGCTGAGGCAAAGCGAAGTCTGATTATTCAGAGTCCCTTGCGAGCCTGCGAACATCGATATCGGGAGCCACGGGCGTCCCCATTCCTGAGCTTGGCTTTATCTTCAAGGACCGAACTCTATCAAATATATGTAGACAAATCTGAACATGATCTGTATACCTGCGGACAACAAACAGTGGAGCCAGAATGTAAGAGTTCTGTTTCAGATCAGGTGCCGACGTCCTGGAACACAGGTGACAAAGCCAAAGAATACTTGAGAGTTTCGCCTTGCCCTGCGTGTCCCTGAACCCTACCTGAATATCCTAAAGTGGTCCCAAAGACCTAATAAGCCATGAACAGTAATCCTGAACCTTGCATTCTTCGGCTCCAGAAGCAGACCCCTGCGGACGGGGGGCAGGAGGTAGATCCAAGGATCCAGGCCTGAGCTAACCATAATTTGATTGGGGAGTGGGCGTACCTGCAAGGGAGGCTCCTTTCTAGCTTTGCTCTGACATTTTTAGTCTTTGTGCTCCTTCGCTCGCGAGGCCCTCAAGACCGGGAGAAACAGACATCCTCTTTTGATTTGAGCTTGGGGTTCCCTCCGCGCGGTTGCCTGCCTAAACAATTGAAGCCTATTGACTCAGTCAGAAAACGCCATCTGCAGCACTCAGGGCCACCCTTGTTGGGAGTGCTCTTTATGCTCGCGATTTAGGGCTTAGGGTTAGGGGCTTCCGGCCCGGATCTGCGTGGCATGGATGCGATGCGACTTGCTACCACGTAGATCATAAAGCCTCGGAAACCTCACGGAAAAGCAAGCCCAGAATCCCAAACCCCCGAATGGAACGATTTCGAAGCCAACAGGGAACACACCAATACAAAACTCTAAGAACGCAATCTCGAAAAGCTTTCATCATCCATGCCTGAGCCACGTCGCCCATGATTTCAAACAATTGCTTCCAGCATCGAAGGTGCTGACGGGCGAAAAACCACCTACGAGGATAGCGTCGGCTTGGCAAGGCGGTATTTGATGATTTAGTTCCAAAGCCCCAATGCCTGGAGGCTTCGCATGAACTGTGTCACAGGAAATCTCACTGCTGTGTCGGGTCCCCACACAACACCTGACTCTGGATGGAAACGATCGCCAAGCCCGGACCCCAAAGCCTGATCATGACCCCTGCAAGGAAAACACACCCACACCCACACACAATGACTGTTTGACAATAGTAATGTCACTTTCTCGCTAGCCAGCAATGCTGCCAGCCTGCCTGTGCTTCCTACACCGCTAAACATCCTCAGTCCTATCACCGAGCGCTGCTGAATCAAAGCTCCTCAGCCCTAGTTCTCGCCGCCTCACTTATCTGCCCATAGTGGCCGGCTGTAATGTACTGCACGATACCCAATGGACTTATGTATGTATGAGTATGTGTGTGTATATATATATATATATATATATACATATATATACACACATATACACATGTATATATATATATATATACATACATACATATATACATACATATTTATAAAGATATGTATGTAAATATCAATGTTTATATACAGATATGCACCTGTACACACACATACATATACATATACATATACATACACATACACATACACATATACATATACATATACATATACATATACATATACATATACATATACATATACATATACATATACATATACATATACACATACACATACATTTACATATACATACACACACAGATACAGATACACATACACATATACATATACATGCACATGTACATGTACATGATTGTACATGTATATATATATACATGTACATATACATATACATATATACATATGTGTATACATATGCATATGTATATATATATATATATATATAGGTATAAGTGTGTGTGTATATATGCACACATATATATATATATATATATATATACGAGCATGTCTCTTAGCGTCTTACTGTCACAGTCTCAGCTTAAGTACTCACGCCGCTACAAAACCAAACGTGTCATCCCCATGAGATGCACCTAGAAACCATCAGCAGCATCAACAGGCACCCAAAAGAGCACCCCAAATTTGGATATCCCATATCTGCTCCTTTTGAAAGAAGCAATAAGATAAGGATATCCCACCCAGAAGTTTATGTTTGGGTCTTGTTTGGGCTCCTGAATGAAGAGCAAACAAGACCCTACAACTGCCCGGCAAAACCCGCATACTCATCTTGCTCAAACCCGCCTAAAGCTCATAATAATGAATATGTTGACTGCCAATACGCCTCTCAGTCTATCCGGTAGAACCAACGAAAAAAGTGCTTGCTTGCCATAGCATTGCTTAGCTGTAACGGTTCCTTATACGAAGCCAAAGTGATTGCAGAAAACGATAGTACTTGTAGCAACCATAATATCTACAGTTACAAGCGTCGGAACATTAAAGGCTAAGAGTTGCACGGTTTTTTACAAACTTCCCTATGAAGCTTGACCAGCTCGGTTGCAATTTTAGTTAAGGTTTAGGGTTTAGGACCCTAAAACCCTTAATTCTACACCTTCTCGGACGGAGCCTCCGGTGCTCTGGATTCACCGGGCAGTGGGCGGGCGCAAGCCTCTTGTAACCCGAAGACGTCAACCTTGGGCCAGAGCCAGAGGGCCGAAGCTTTGGAAATTCAGGATCAACCTTTTGAGGTCCCAGGATCCTTCTGTCGGGTTTAGGGTGGCAGCTAAGAGCTGGTGGCAGCCCTCGTGCTCAAGAACATCGAAACCTCGACGGGTAAGTTCAAGTACTGCCAACATCAACCATGGAGTACATGCCGAGCGAAGAGGTGCTTGATCCCGACTGATGTCTCTGTCGAAGTTTCGGGGCTGAAACTTTGAGGTTGTCGGCTTCACGTCTTTGGGCTGTCTTAGCTTAACTGTTTTCTTTAATCGTTATGGCACATTCGATCCGAGCACTGATCTCCATCCGAAACAGGACATGGTCATCCCACCGTGAAGTCCATGATGCAGTTGCCTGATTTTCCTGGTGTGCCCCGCCGGTCGCTGGAGGCTGTAGACCTGTAAAAGCCAGCTCTGATGACAAAACCGCTCGCACAAACCACTGTGCGACATCGTCCACGGTCAAGTTCGATACGGGATACACTTTTCGAAATGTTTCCAATGGATGAGGTGCTGCGATGGAAGGCTTTCTGGCAAGTTCCGATGTATCGTGTTCGGGTCCGGGAGTGCGTGACGCAACCATGGCGCGGGTGCTTTTTCTTGTCTCCTGATACCCGTCCGCCTCCTTGAATGGATCTGTCATGGAAGACGCGAAGCGAACAACCGTCTGTGTCTCGAGATGGCGATCCGGCCACAGCTGCTGCTGTAGGCCAATGAAGAGGAAGCACCCGGCCAGCTAAAGTAGCATGACCTAGGACGACCACGTAAATTTACTGCACATCGGGTGGTGTGTACAACGGGGCGGCTGATAAGGACGGTAAAAATTACTCATGCAAGCATGGGTGTGAGGCAGATCCATGAGGATGTGTATGTGGTATTATGTGGTCATAAGAAGCGATGTAACCAGTCCCAACGAAAACTGAAGTGGCGACCAGGCAGCAAGGTCAGATAATTCGTTCTTTGGAGACTCGCAAGTATCTTCAACTCAAAACGAAACCGCAAAACTTGAACCCCTCTTCACAAGCACCTCGAAACACTGAACTCCTCACCTCGAATGAAGCTTAGCCGTCCATTCTCGATTCCCCATACTTGAATCCGACGTACGTTCTTGGCCCTGGCTAGGTCGAACTCCAAACTGTCTGTTTGAAGGCTTCATGGGAGACTTTGTAAGTACTGTAGGTTCAGGCAGCAGCAGATGTAGACTTTGAGGATTTTGTTGTTTGGTTTAGGCTACATCAGTGTTTCCTCCATTACATGTGGTTCGGTTCCAGCTTGAAGGTGCAAATGGCGTCTTGGCGCGCGTCTACTGAAGAATCAAGGGAAGAAAGAGCAACCTTGCAAAGCAACCATGAATCAGAACAAGACAGTAATAGCCGATGGTGTGCCAATAGCCCCGGATCCCTGTAAGATTTGCCCCATAATCTGAGAACACTAAAACCCCCAAACCCTAAACCCTGAACCCTAAGTCCTAAACCAATGTGTCAAAGGACCAACCACCCGGCAGCGATTTGCGAAGAGTCAACTCAAGCAGTCCTGTGCCGGTTGGTTGTCGAAGCGTTTGAAGGATTACTTGTCCATACTTTCTTGGAGGAGCTTAGGGGCGTTTTAAGGTTTTTACTTGGCTTTTGGTGTTTCGGGGCTTGGGCTTTACGGTTCAGGAGGATGAGCCTCCTCCCATCCGGGCATCACACACCCAAGGCTATCCAGGCGCTTTGGACTATAGGGAAGCCAACCCACAAGAAACAAATCAAACCCCAAGCAGCCTTTTCGCTTTTGGGAATCGCCCAATCTTGAGAAAGCCTCGTACATCAGCGAAGATACTGGCTTGGCACGCAGCCCGAAACCCGAAGCCAGGAAGTCCAGCGTTGAAACCAAATCCACCCGGGCTGGAAGCCTTGTTAGCAAGAAAGCGATGTACAGCTTTGCGATCAGAGCACAACAAAGCAATCAAGTTAACTGTGGGCAAGATCAACAGTGCATGCTCCCTTTGGCATGACGAGAAAACACCGTTGCAAGTACAAGAACCAACCTTCAAGCTTGCTAACGCACCAAACCCCAAACCCGCAACATTGAATTCTAAATGAAGAAACTTGGAAACCCGCAATGTCGCACCAAAATTTGAACCCTGGGCTTAAAGCATATCTAAACTAGCACCCAGCGTTTGCAGACCTGGACCGTGCGTGCTGCCAACCCTAAACGCTCAGACCCTAAAACCGCTGCAAAACCTTATGAACCCCGCAGTGCTTGGAGAACCCTCACACATTGAAGCCTAATCTACCCTTTAAGGATTGATCCAACAACCACAAGCCTCGTCAGAAACGTTGACTAATCTGGATAAAACAGCTGCGCATTATCAAAAAACGGATCCAAGTTTGAAGCCTAAACCCTAGGACGCACGAAGTTGTCAGCCCCGGGGTCTGCCTGGTCTTTGAGTTGACTGGCCCTCCATGCCCGTTGCCTTTGGGACTAGAGCTTTTTCAGGGTTTGTAGATGCTTTTTGGGCCGCTGCTACGGCTTAAGGTTTTGGGTCAAGGGTTTGACCTTGGCCTGTGACTGACAACTCCGATGAGAGGTGATGGGTCAAACGATGGGTGGAGTTTGTTCTTGGCGCCTGTTCAAGCCGGCCGTCTTGGAAGACTACCAGGACCTACTAGGGGATTCCCGAAGAAACGGAGTCACATCGTGCAATGCGATCCCCCCTCAACCATTAATTATCTTCTACGTCCATACCGTCATACCCGTCATTATGTTCCCTACCTCGGCACTCGCCGTCGCGGATCACGCTCGTGCTCGTGTTCATCATCGTTGTGAGCCATGTCACACACTCAAGACGCAGCGCAAGACAAAGAGCTGAAAAAGACAACGGACTCGATCCAAGACTGGACGATGGTCGTCAACTGCTGGATATATTCGCGGAGGGGGTGTATGCAGAAGCACTACTTCAGCTACAACCACTACAACAACAACAACAACTACTACTACTACTACGATCTAGTATCTACTATCTACTATCTACTACTACATCTACTGCTACACTAGATCTACTATCTACTATCTACTACTACATCTACTACTAGATCTGCTACTAGATCTGCTACTAGATCTGCTACTACTACTACTGCTGCTGCTACTACTACTACTACTACTACTACTACGACGACCACTACCACTACCACCTGCACTGCCACAACCACTACCACTACCACGACCGCTAACACTACCGCTACCGCTACCGCTACGGCTACCGCTACCACTACCACTACCACCACCACCACTACAACTACAGCAACAACTACCACTACTACTACCCCTACTACTACTGCCGGACCGACGTTTCGCCTCAGTGCCTACTTACATAGTTCGCTAACTTCCCACAGAGGTGCGGTGTGTTGTCAAGCCTGCGCAAGCCAACGCCCAGGCCCTCCAGAAGCAAACCCAAAGGCAACCGTGAACAGCCAACGCCCGATCTCAAAGCGCCAGCCGAAATACGCAAGCAGGGTGTGGGGTATGCCTGAATTCTAGCCAGCATGCCGCCGCCGGCATCTGCCCGAACATGTCCATATTCATGGAACCACTGTTGTCTAACACGATCGCCACCTGCAATACAACGTCGAATTTAGCGTTTAGGAGTTTAGGGTTCGACGCATGCCGTACAATACTTTACTTCGCGACACACTGCAATCCACAGCGCCGCAGGGGTAACGACAAACGACTCGAAAGCCAGGTCTCTTCAAGAGGCATCCGCATGCCTCGCCTACTACATGGGGCATCACACCAAGCACCTACAAAAGGGTAGAAGAAGGAATGTTGCTACAAGTAGCATTGCGCCCATGGATCCGCACCAATAAACCCCACAAGCTTCTGGAAAAACGTAGAACCCCGAAACCTTGCAAAGCCAACACAGCCCTCCGAGAAACACCGAGCCTAGGCCCCTGATCCTCGAGTTTAGGGAGCGTTCTATCGGTTATTCTGGGATCAAACAAAATTCTCACAGACTTTCTTGCCTTTTTGTGCCTCCGTCCGACGCAGTCACGTGTTGCGGGAAATCAGCTTTAAGGTGCAAGGCTCCAGAAGCCGTATTTCTGCACCAGAAACCGCCAAAACAACGTGTTGCCTTGGCCCAGCAAGGTTGCTTAAGATAGCACCCAGAAGCCCGACATGCTCTAGTATGCCCCCTCAACGTAGACATTGTGCTATCGAAAGCATGTGTGCCAAAAGCTGTCGTCATTGTTTAAAGTCCACAATTCATACCTTAGACTTGAAGATAAAGGTTCAGGCTCTGGGAGTGCAGAACCCTAAACAAGATGACTTCCCGAACACTGCAGAGGATCTAAGCCAAGACCTTAAGCCATCCATCCTGACCCTACACCAAACCTCGATGTCGTAAATCAGCGGCGTCAGCATGTCGTATGCCAGGGTATGGGCGTGGCCCGTGTCCTCCACAGCCGCCCCAAAGCGGCACCCCAAGGCCGAAAACCTCGAACTTCGGTGTAGCAACTTAGGTTTGCAGACCACCCCCAAATTCACAAGTAGGTCCAGGCAAAAACCATACTACTATGGACAGATGGAAAGGTTTGCCATCCCAGGCGCGCAGCTTTAAACCTCTGAAGCTCCACCCCCAATGTCATCTTTTGTAAACTTGAACAATTTTCAAGCCACTACCCAAGGGCCGCGTACTTCCCCCTTGGCGTAACAGTACATCCGAACCCTAGTTAACACCCAGGGTCAGGTCCTGCAGCAGGTACTCCAGGCGGGAAATCATGGTCAACTCCTGCAAGCTTGGAGTGCTTTGGAACTTGACAACTTGACAACCTCAAACCCTATAAACGTAAGCCCTGCAGTGAGTCGTAATCTCTGACAGAGTTACAAACCCTCAGACCCTGAACTAAACCACAAAGTTGGAGGGCGATAGAGAGGGATGCTAGGTGATAGTCGGCACCGTGCCATTCTTCTGATTTTTCGAAGCATGCGTCAGGCTCTTCAGAACAATCGGGGTACTGTGGGCAATGCCTGCATCAGTAAACTCAGTAAACTTATTGTCCTGCTTAAACCGAACCCCGCAATGCTGTGCAGATCCAGTGTGATCTTCGAAGAGCTTTCTCACACTCAACGGCACAGCAACCGCAAGTTTGGGGCTCGATCTAGAATCTCGGATTCATGAGTCAATTTGGCGTGCACGATGTCTTCACTTCTGTGCCGGTGAACCTAAATCCAGGTGGCAGGCCTTAGGAGTGAACCATGACGTATCCAGCAAACCTGGCTGCGTGAGGAATCCTCTCTCACCCCATACCGGCCCGAAACCCTACTCTCAAAGCGGCTCAGGGCTCGGATACCTGATACTTTTGGTTTAGGATGGGAATCCAAAAATAACTAAAGTGTTAACCTACCTCAGTACGACCTTGACAGCTCTGCTAGCAAGGATCTCTCGACTGAACTCTGCTGTGGCTCTGTGCTGGAGCTAGCATTTCGTTTTCGGGTTTGGGCAAAAGGCTTGGGGAAAAAAGTTAGGGAAAGTGCTCGGTGAAAAAGATCTTAAGCCTCGAACTGTAAGGGATCTTTCAGAAGATACCCTTAAGGTGCAAGCACTATATAATCAAAGTCGAAATTGCAAAGCACAAACAATCCCCAAAGCTTTCAAGCCCTACGCCCCGACAGCCCTAGGCCCTAGACACATAAAAACCCGGACCTAGAACTCTCAACCGCGAGATGCTTCCGGCGAGCGACGAGGAGGGTAGAGGCCCGAGCCGCTAATCATCTGATCCATTATGAACCACGGTTTCCTCCGTCGGCTTTAGAGGGTTTTGAGTTATCTTGGTCCTAAAAAAACAACGTTGGGATTTGGGATTGACAGCTTAGGGTTTGGGGGTAGCCTGTTTACTTCAATATCCAGGATTTGCGCGCTTCAGTTGTTAAAGCTTTTCGGGGATTCAGGGTTCTGGGCCTGCGTGGCTCTACTGGGGCTTCAGGGTTCCTACATGTTCTTACGATTCAAAACAAGCTGATGTGCATATGCCCTTCGTTTTCGGATGAATTCTGCTAATTATGCAACAAAGCATGCGGGCCGGATAACAGGTTCAAATCTGACCTACGATGAGGGGTCAAACTCATCTTTGGAACGCATACAAAGTTGTGCATGGCACCTCTTCAATCGAAACATGTAAACATACGTAAACTAAGCCGCACATCACGAATCCTTGACCCGAATCGCCCACCACACACACAAACACATAAGCACCCTGGCCCGAAGCCATTGCTAAAACTTAATCTTCAAAACCCGTTGATTACTTGGCTTTGAGGAGTAGGGTTTGTGAGGGCATCGTAAGCTTGATACGGGTTGTACAAGATGCAAAAGTCTCAGAGTTTCTAAACATGGGGCTTTTAAGCTGCCCCGACATGTAAATTGCCAAATGCCTGTCTCCTCTGGAATTCCCGTACTTCTCCCCCTTCAAACGTTACGTAGGCGGTAAAAGCCAGGTTTCGATTCACAACCACTGATTGCGGTTTTGGCAAGGCTCGCTACCCTGCCTGAACCCATGCCAGCACAGCTCACCGATCCAGGCTCCAAACAAAAAAACACAACCGCTGGAATAAGCAACCGCAGCGAAAGTACCAACAGAGAAAGCAGCGCAATGAACGACAACGAAAAAAACATCAAGAGCATGACTGTCATGAGCATGAAACTTCCTGTGAAAGCCGCTTACACGAGAAATGCGACAAGCTGCAACGGAAGGACGGCAACACACGAGAAACGCCTTGGCCCCGACGGCACAGCGCTTACACAGCCGGACGGTCCCGGAGTGTAGCACAAACCGGGATGTTGCAAATGACTACTTCACAGATCATGCTAAGCTCGTACCGCTGAATTCATACAGGATCATCAACGCTGCCTTTCGCGCTCCAACCCGTGCAGTCGCCATGCGCTTGCCAAGTTCGCCACCTCCCCCACCTCTTTTTCAGGAGTCGGTATATATCTTTTCCAGAAAGAACAAGGCACGAACCGCTTCTGAAGAGTGACCCATTTCCACCAAAACTTTCCTCTGGAACTCTCCCCCGGGTAGACAGCATCCCCGACGCATACCCAAGGGAGAGTACCCACCATCCTTGTTTGCAGCCGCCTGCTACAACTGACTTTATCTAAGATTTCCAAAATTGCCACTTCATGCTACTCTCATATCCTTTATCGCCTTGTTCCCTTCTTCTGCCGAAAGAGGGGCCGATGCATCTTCTGCTCGCGCTTTCGGCCCCAATCTCGGAGAATCTCCCGGCGCTGTTGGATCCAGGCCTGCTTTTATGGGAGTGTCAGGATCTGGGGTTTTCGGATTTTTGGGGTTGAGGTTTCTTAACAAGATGACTGTTGTTTTAGGATTGTGGGATTCGGGCTTGGGTTTATGGTTCAGGGCTTGCAAGGGTTTGGGGACTTTTATCACCAAGATCTTCGAAAGGGTCCTGATCAATATCGTTTAATGAAGCACCCTACTTTCAACTAAGGGGCTTTGGACGTTTGCATGAGGCTTGATAGGGTTTGGTGGCTTTGGAGTCTAGAGGGTTTACGGGTGTACAAGGCGGAGAGATTGAGGCCTGCCGAGTTGAAACAAGACATGAGATCAAGACCTCCACCTTGTTCGATTCACGCCCAGGCCTTTCAGGTGGCTTCGTGGACAGAGAAGAGACACATAGGACATCAACTGGGGGTTTCGAGCAAAACGACTTCATCGGCATGGGCATGCTTAGCTGATTTCATCATGCATGTTCTCACCTCCGTGTGTGAGCGTGGCGGAACAAGTGCTCGTGTGTTTGGCGGCCAGGGAAACGTTCTGTAGCTGTGTCTACGGCTTTTACCTCACTCGTATGTTTAGACTGTACCTGTTTTGTAGTAAAGCTAGCTAATCTAAACCCTTCGGCCCCTCATGAACTCTCTAGCTTAGGATTCCTGAGTAGGGGCAGGTTTAGGTTGGTTTGTGCTTACGGCTTGGGGTTATGGTTTTGTTGATCAAGGATGCGGGGTCTAGGCTTTTAAGGCTGGAAAAACAACTGCCCCGAACCTGATAACTTCAAAGCCCCGTGGATTCGAACAAATAGCTCCGTAAGAGATTGCTCTCAAGCCACCCAGTCCCAAAGCTTCCTCCCCCAAATCCGAAACGCAACCCAAAAACCCTGAACACTCTGCTGCACAACCCCTGAAATCTCAATCTCACAGTCCAAACCCTGCCTCCATGCTCTCAGGCTGAGCGATGCCCTCGGGCACATGAAAATGCTCGGCGTGGTAGGTAGCCTCGTCGTACATGTTCTGAGGCCCCACCTTCGGCTGATTGTGATGAGGTTAACTAGTACCTATGCAAGCTTGTAGGGCTTAGTGTGGTGACACTGCTCAGGGGATGTTGCCGTAGGCGTAAGAGGGATTCTAGATGCAAGCCAACGTCCCCACCAATTTTAGAAAAGGGTTTGTATTGATACGCTTCGCAACCATGGGTAGTCGAAAGCTTTTAAGGTAGCTGCAGACTGCGTCACCCTTGCAGCGACCATGAGCCTTACTTTTGGCTCCTTGCAAAAGGCGCAAGAAGTAAGGCAGAAACCAATAGGGAGTTCCTCAAACCTAATTAAGGTGCCTTGGAACATCGGTCCTTCTACGAAGGATCGAAGATCCCGTGAGTTATCGTCAGAAACGTTCACTAGGATCCCAGACAAAAATGCGAAAGCTTCATGTGTCAATCCAAACGCAGCCAAGTGCAAAACTGACAACCCTGAACTGCCAGATTTCAAAAACAAACCCTAACCACACAAACAGCACAATGGACATCTTCGTCATAGCACGACAGCACACCCGAAACCCTAGACCGTATTGCCGCTCTCGGGCCACCTCCCAGGGTTCCAGTGGCGGAGCAGAGGGGGACAAGTCCTCTTGTGCAGGTGGCAGCAGCGGCTCCTTAGCAAAGAGCTGAATGTTGGACATCTATGTACTGGGTTTTTGAGCCTCAATTTTCGGACTTCGATGCAGACTGTAAGAGTTCAATGTATGCTCTAATGAACAAACTATTTTGCTCAAGGTTAAGTATGTGGGCCCCCGTAATAATAACAAGCTCCGGTGAAGGGGGGTCCTTCATCGCGGGGCTGCACTCTGCCACGTAGGGCTAGGGGTTGGAGTTTTGGGCACTTGCTTGCAAATGCATGCTCACCAGCCTCATGGGAATTTACTCGGGCGCAGGTTGAGAAGGGGTTTCGGGGTGTGTGGCATAGGATTTCGGCCGAAGCTTCAGGTTTGGGCGCTGCTTGGTACAACTACTGCTAGTATGATCCATTTAAGTCCCTCGTAACCACAACCCCTGCAACCGGCCCAATCGCTTGCCGTGGCTCCGTGTAGGGTTCCGTCCAGGGCAGCGGCGTCGGAGTTTCCATCTGCTGTTGAACCGGCTGCTGGCTTTGAACCTGACACTTCTCGATGGCATATGCAGAGATGTTGCAAAGTACGGTTTACCGTCAGAAGTATGTACGTACATACATGCATGCATGCGTGCATGCATACAGACCGACAGACAGACGAACGGACAGACAGACAGGCGCAGACAGACACAGACAGACATGGGCAGACACATTCAGACATGGGCAGAGAAAGACAGACGCAGACAGACGCAGACAGACAGACGGACAGACAGACGGACAGACAAACAGATACATACATATATATATATATATATACACACTGCATATTTAGAGTTTGACACATACCACTCGGGAAACAGAACCAGAAAGGTTTAAAGCCTGAACCTAGGTCGGTCAGGAGTGCCGAAACTGGAAGATACAGGTGACACGCAGCGTTTCTCTAACAGATCCTTGACATAGCAAGCTGGTTGCCGGGAGCTTCATCCGATTTGTTGTCTACGTCGTCACAACCGATTGTAGAGGAATTTACAAAGATCGCAGACGATTGAAACTCGCGATAAGACTACGCCTCCGCGCATGCGAAATGAGACCTGCTTGTCCCTCAGGTATGGCACATACCGCAAGAGAGTTTCAGAAAATGGGGCACCGGTCGTTTACCTGAAATCAGTCACAGGATCCTTCTGTCATGGACTCCAAATGTCCGTGCCTAGTTCGAGAAACACCATGCAGCCTTGAAAACCCTCACGAACTCTTAGACAAGCTGTTTAAATTTCGAAACCTGTGCAAATAAACCTCTGTCAGAGAGGCCAGTGCCGCTGCCACCGAGCACAATGCGAAGTTGGTACTAACCTGCCCGGCCGAGCCGCAGGGTGTTGGCAGATGTGCTGTGTTAGGTTTAGGCGTTTTGGGGATCAGAGGAGTTTAAGACTTTCAGAATGCAGGGGTTCAGGGTTTTGGGATGAGGATTAGGCTTTGGGCTTTTGTAGTTCTTACTTAACACAGACGAACGCCATCCAAAAGGCCATGCGATCCTCGGCAAATGGTCTTCAACCAAATGTTTCAACGCACTGGACGATGTTGTGGCTCAACGAGCACCGGACTTGCAAAACACAAATCAAGCTTCTGATGCTCATGCCACAAACCATTCCACACTCCAAGCCCCGAAGCCCCCACACAGGCCTCTGCTATGGGACAGCTAGTGCGGCAGAGTGGGCATTCCACCTGGCAGAAGGCTGAATGCTTAACCTCAACCTTCCTGCATGTAAAGGTGCTGCTGTGGTTTGTGCCAGGATTCCCACATCCTGCTGCTGCTGTTGCCGTTGCTTTTGCTGTTTTTGCTGCTGTTGCTGCTGATGCTGTTGTTGTTGCTGTTGTTTCTGTTGTTTCTGCTGTTGTTGCTTTTGCCGTGTTGTTGCTGCTGGTGCTGCTGCTGCTGTTGCCGCTGTTGTTGTTGCTGTCGTCGCTGCTGCTGTCGAGTAGTAGTTAGTAGTAGTAGTAGTAGTAGTAGTAGTAGTAGTAGTAGTAGTAGTAGTAGTAGTAGTAGTAGCAGCAGTAGTAGTAGTTGTTGTTGTTGTCGCTGTTCCTGTTGTTGCTTTTGTTATGCAGCCTAGTGCCTAGGGCAAGCAGCGAACCCTCGAACCCAAGAAGGTGCTGCACAAAGGAATCCAACGAAGAACACTGCAGCCACATGCATCTGGAACTATGAAGGGGACTGCCCCTCCCGTAAAGGATTTGCGAAACTGATGTCGGCAATCAGGAATCACAAATAGAAAATTGAACTTCACGTCCAAAATCTCAGACGAAACCGTTCTGGGGCCCGTGCATTTTGTCCAGCCTGGCGTCAAAATGAGCGATGAGGAGCATGACGAAAATCATGATGGCGAAGGAGACGACGGGGTGGTGATACTGAGGACGAGATACAGAATAAATATCGATATATATATATATATATATATATACGTGTAAGGTATTGACTGACCAAGACACCTCGAGCTACCAGTCCCGGCTTCCAGTCCTTTTTTGTTGGGGGGCAGTGCTGCACTTACAGCCCTACAGCCGGAGAAGACATACCATCACAATGGCGTTCCTCATCGCCCGAGCAGGAAGCAGTCACCGGTTCTGAATCACGGCAGCCATTGCCGCAGCATGACATTTAGACTAGTGTTAGGTAAGGTAATGCAAGGCACTTCGTTTATAACAGATTCGAAGCCGGGATGCACAACACCACATATTATGATGCAGCTCGGACTTCAACGAAGAACCCCTGAAGCAGTTAAGTCTAAGCCAAGAAACCGAAGCAACAACGGCAGCAGCAGGAAGCCGCAGCAGCAACAGCAGCAATAACAACAACGAAATGATGATCATCCCAATAATCATTATCATCATCACCACCACCATCATGATAACGATCATCAGCATCAACATTATACAGAGCCATGGCCGTGTACACCGTGGGCCTGCCCTCTGGTGATTGCGACCAGGCATTGTTCGCAGATTGTGTGCCCGCAGGGGAAAACCTTCCTGGGATCTCGGCTGGCTCTAAAAAGCTTGACAAATGTCCGTAAGGCAGATGCTTTTTGAACAGAACAAGGGTGTGTATGTATACTGATGTCTAAATCGATGGGCAGGTATAGACCGGAAAAGATGTACATATACTTCTACACAGCTGCTTATCAACTCGCCTGTGGTCTAAACCCTCTCATTAGTCAGTGCAGGGTTTGGCGTGTAGAAGGCAAAGCCCTAATGAATCAAAGCCCCTCGAGTAGCAACTAAATGGGAAAGATACTGGGGAGCCCGTTGTGAAGGTCCTAGAGCAAGGGGTTCATTAATCAGGGGTCTACTTTGCCATACCAGTACGACCGAGAAGAAGTCACAAGGCCATCCAAACACCCTTCAAAACACACATAAATCAATTTTCGCGAAACCCTTCTACAAGTGCAAACCGGGGCGAGCATCGGCACGTGAAAACCTTCGCTGTCTGTGTAGTGGTTCAGACATATGGGACAGTCCATGGCGCACAATGTAATAAAAGTGGGCACCGGGTGGTTTTGGATAACAGTCAGTAAGCAAGCGCAATACCCGCAATGACAACACTCACAACGTCATGGTCGCAGTCCTAAACAGAAATAAACCATACCAGCAATTACAATACAGGAATTACTCACCAACTCACAACAGCAGTGGCCAGAATATTGCAGGGAAGCTAACCAGCAAAAACAACAGCGCTGACGACAGTACAATGCAACTAGCCAAGCGCAGTCACAATTACAATAGAAGTCACAACAATCAAAACCTCAGGTCTAGACTGATTGGAAGGATCATTACGTCTCTCCTATTTCCATGCTACGTATCCTTGGCCCACACGTGCTCCAGCCTAAGATGCGCCGTTTCTTTGTTTGGGCGAGGTCCGAAGCCAAAGCAACACCGCTTATTTATCGATGTAGACCCCTGATGATTATGGACATCCCGTCTTCCAAGGTCTTTACTGTCTTTGCTAGTCGGATCTACCAATAATTAACCTGTATTCACGGAGATATCTGAACTTATGTAGGACTGCTGATTACGATAGAATGAGACATCGTGGAAAGCCCTAGAGAATGGATTCCTTGTTGGGTGTTGGGGTTTTCGGGCTCGGGATTTAGCGTTTGCAAGTCACAACCTGCTAGTATGAACTAGACTAGTCAACTGGGACTAACGCCATTGAGGCTTCCGACGACCTCCTTGCAGAACGAGGTTTGCACACGGGAAGCCATGGTGGGAATTTTCAAAAGCCCAAATCCAACACCACAGCCCCGGAACCTCCGCTGTCAAGCCATAACGCCCCCCAAACCCGCTTCGAGTCACCACGGCAATGGCTGAGGTGAACAGAGAGACTCCCGCACTGAGCTAAATCAGGACTCTATAGGACTGGAGGGAGTTTGCAGGGGACTGGGCTTGAGGTTGTCTTGTTACTGGGGTTTTTCCTCGGGGTCTCAGGTTGGGGACAGTTGCGGTCAGGGACCAACGTAGGCACACGAGACGCCTAGAACGTCCGCGTAGTTTTTGGACTGTACGTGTGACCCGAAAGAGCCATTTCCGAAAGATGCCTGAGAAAAATACGCCTTCTGGGCAGCAGGTGCGATTTGAGACGCACCAACGGCACTCGCTGTGTTTATTCTTCAGGGGCCACAGCCCTGAGTTACATAAGACCCCCCAAAAGCTACCAAGCCCCGGAGCTGGCTGAGGGCGAGTTCTAGAAAACCTGTAGACCTGAAACCTACCAAAGCACAGAGCCAGCAAAGCCTTACCGGACATGCTTCATAATGAGATTGAAGAGCATTTGGGATACATATATATATATATATGTATACATATGAAATAAAAGGACGATAGGCCGAACCCATTCCCAATTTTTCAGCCCGCTATACTAAACCACATCAGCTTTTTCGAAGCCATGAGCTCTCCGATGCAATCGCCTCTTTGGTGCGCATCCTGCGAATATAAAACGCCGCAAGGCCTAGGGCACGACGAACACAGGAAGAATAGAAATCGCTTTTAGATTTGGGATTTAAGATCATGGGACTGAGGGAAGGCTCTAGGTTCAGGAAGCTAACTTTTGTCACAAACGAAACATGAATCAGACGAGCTGCTGACGAGGAGGAACAGGGACCAGTGAAAATAGTAGAACGGGTCCATAACGTTGGTGAGAACGTCTGTGACCATGACAGTGGCGATGTGAATAACGAGGAATAACTAAATAACTCCCGTCCAACGATAGTATGATAATGTTCTGTATTCTTTTATCTTTACGATGATGTGTGTGAAGATACAGGGTAAACCTGCGAATCGTCTACATCAGGACCAAACTGGGATATTAGTGGAAGATCATTCAGTCTTGACACTACATGGTCGCTCCCGGTCACGACAGCTATCAGCCATCAGAAAACCTCCACCCGGAATTGATGGGACAATGGCAAAACCCTACCGTGACCGCATGGTGTGCTCCCTGAAGCCCACGAAAGCAGCCTGAAAGCCTGAAAATTGCTGATAAAACCCGAGCAAAAGCATATTATATTCTATGAAGACCATATAAAACCGCTTGTTTGTTAAGCCCGAAGACCTCGCGGGGCTGGCGTCGGAGAACGTGGAGGGGGACCCTCCAAAGAAGGGAAAACCAAGGCGCACTTCACTCAAAGATCCGCGTCTCCGTGCTGAGCCCGCATAACGACATAAACATCTCGACTAAGGTTTTCGGTGGTCTCAAACTACCACAGTAAAATGCCACTATACAGTCCATATATGTCCATATCGTGAAAGTGGAAGGTTATCTTAATACAAAGGGCCTGATCAATAGAAACGAGTTTCGGGTGTAGGTGCGTACCGTAATGTGTAATGTAGCTTAGTTGTAGAAACCACCCGACTGTAAAACGTCACCATTCGTGGTTAAAAGCTATCTTAGGATTTCTGGGGTCCCAAACAAACACAATACCCGTTGCTGGTATCATGTATGTCGAACGGAAACTACGGGCTTCTTTTGGAACTTCAGCAAGCCGTACTGGGCTCTGCGGGTGTCCCTTCCGGTACGCTTATGGATACAACCACGTTAAGGACAATCACGTCTTTGTGCACAATTTTAGGAAAGCGAGCGTTTTGGCAAAAATGTTGATAGCCTCAACACGACAGTGCACAGATTCGTATTCTTTCGTACGGGCTCTTGTTGGGGGCTCAACGAAGCCGGGGATGTTTTGGATGCTCCCGATGCCCGGTACTCGATCCTTAAGTTTGGGGTATTGCTCGAGGTTGAGGGTCAGGGTCAGAGCTTCTAGGGGTCGTATAGAGTGTTGTTTGGGGCTTGAAATTCTCCGAGGTTGTCGAACTTTTGGTGCTAATGACGAAGGATTGTTGCTGGCGTTTAGTTTTAGGATGTTTCCCGTCGAAGGCAAATATGAAGAATTAACTTTAGGTTCTTGAGCAAAAACTTGTGTGCGAACAAATTAACATGTTACGAACCCTAAGGCCTTGGAAACTTTGATGGTGCTAATTACCGAAACCAAAAAACCTAAGTCCGAAACCATAAACAAAAACTCCGTATCCTAAACGCTGAAGCCCTAAAATGCTGACCTGTGTCGTTTGCGGGAATTCAGCGGAGACACGGGCTTCAGGTGGCCCCCTGAGAACTTCTCAACCGACGGGACCTTTGTGGGGAACGTATTGCCGTTACTGTTGTTGATACACCGGAAGGATCCGACACCGAAGCCCTAAACCCCAATTGATTGGTTAAACTGTTAAACCATGTTAAACCTAAGCTTGAGCTAGCCACGGGCGCGGTAGATGCCAGCTGGGAGCGGACACGCCCGAAGAGGGTGTCGGTGGGTCGGGTGCAAGGGCCACGGCCGCCAGGGCATCCGGTGAGGACGGGCTCCAACAGAAAGCACAACAGTCGACCCACATACGTCAAGCTGCGCCAAGTTGGGGGGCACCTCCGTCAGCCCGGACCTCAAAACTCTGCCATCTCGAAGGCAGCGTACCATCGTCAAGTAGACAAAACTGTTAGGGGGCTAGGGGCCCCCCTCATGCCCCGAGACAGCCGTTTCACCGGAGCCCCTGTGCGATGCGGGCCCAGGCGAAGCACATCCCGACGCAGGGAAGAAAGACTTACTGTCGACGACTTTGCTCCGAACAAGACTTGAAAGAGGTCCAAAGCTCCTGCTCCAGCTGGCTCTGTGCTCCACGGCGAACATCCACATGAATCTCGTCCATCTTTTTCGCGGCAAGCTGGCGAATGATCTCCGCCCATGCCTGGCGAAGCTCCGGGTAGCAAGCCGCTGTGAAGAAGATCTCCCATTTCCAAGATCTTCCTGCGTTCGGGGTGGCAAACTTGGGCATGAGGCTCGCAACTCCGGATTGGATCACTGGCCGTGGGTGGCCCTTCAAACCGACAAAAAGGGTCCTGGCCAGCCCCCCTTGCTGGCAGCCAGCGTGTGCAGGATCTGGGTGACCTTCAAGCGGATAGGCCGTCTTGGGTCCTAAGGGGCGCTCTGGGAACTCTCGACGCTTTCGTTGCTGCTCGAGCATGCCACAAATCAGCTATCGTTCCAGTCGATGGCCCTGAACCTCGCTGGCCCGCTTTGCCCCGCGATTCTCCGTCAAATGTGCTCAAAAGCTTCGGGTTGAGAAGGTGAAATGTCAATCTACAGCTTCCTCATTCTCACCGAAGCATTTCCTCTTTGGAGCAAGACCCAACACATGCTCCCTTAAACACCAACGACAACACATCCGCAACCCGGCAACGCCTGTCCGCAGGTCTACCGTGGAGAGGAGGCCACTGCCATCTGACAACGATCTTAAGCACCAAAAAGCAATGGACAGGCGGAGGTCCACCCGGTCACCCGAAGCATAAACAAACTGCAACTGGCCTGCCTACATCGCGGCCTGCTCCTTGCGCGTCTTGATCCGGATGCTAGGTGGCACAGCACCATTTTCTCGACGGAAAAACTGGCCAACGTAAACAGACTCGACAACGGCTGGACGACTATGCCTGCGGGACGGCACCAGCGCGTCATCATTGATATGGTTGTCCATCGAAAGGAACATGTCGTGGAAGTTGTTCTCTGCCTTTGGCACCGGTCGCAAAAGTGACGGCTTTGTCAGAGACAGCGGCGTTAATCATGACATTTGAGTTGCTCGTGCATTGGGCAACTTGCCGAAGTTGCTCCATGGAGTGAACGCGAACATTCTTGTCATCTCTGCGGGCTTCAAAATCACACAACGGACAAAGTGGAAGGATGGCAAGATAGTGTACGAACCTCGGCTGAAATTACTGCGCTGATTCGCAAAGCTGCGAGTGGGACTGGATCGGCTGGCACACGGGCGGCCCGCTCCCGTGCACAATCGCAGACAAACTACTGCTCCCCCAGCGCCGGCTGCAAAGACTGCTGGAGCCTCTTGACCGGACGAAGTGCCTTTCAAGGCAGCAGACAAAGGCTTCCTTCCAGCTTTGGCGCCTCTGTTCGAGTCTAGGGAAAGATCAAAC